ATTTCAGATAATTCTATTATGGTTAAAGGACCTGCTAAAGAAGTTGAAAGAATTGTCGAAGAAATTAATGAAAAAGTAGAAGATGCTAAACGTATTGAGGTTTGTCATTACACACACACTTGTGAGGAATATTATAACTATATCATCACACCACGTACTTAATATATTTATATAAATTATTATTTTAGAATATGAAATCATTTACAGCAGAATTTACAATTCCAGCAATCTACTCCTCGCATATTATTGGTAAGGGGGGGAGCAAAATAAAATTCATCAGAGACAATTACAATGTTAGGATAGATATAGATGATAAGCATGTTGACAAAAGCAACAACGGTAGGGAAGAAGACGAAATTGTCAACGTCAAAATAGTCGGGATGAAAGTTTACGTTGAAGAGGCTAGGAATCGAATTCTAGACATAATTGACAAATTACATGGAGAAAGTGTTGTTCGTGTGAATATTCCACCGCAGTATCATGCATCATTGATTGGTGCAAAAGGTAAAGGCGTTAGAAATCTAGAAGTGAAACATGGTGTACGTATTAAATTTCCAAGAAATAAGAATTACAAGAATCATCCTACCATCACTCCTAGTATTAGTAGTGACATTGATGAAGATGTAGGAGATGGTGATGAAGGAGAAGGAGAATTTGAACGTGAATTTGAGCAAAATAATGAAGAAGATTTAGGTTTAGACCCAGATGTAGAAAAATCTGATGAAGTATTAATAATCGGTGGTAAAAGAGGAGTTAGTGAGGCTAGAACAGAATTGCTGGATCTTTTACACTACGCGCAAGATCATGATAATATTCTCAGTTTCACTATTCCAGCCAAATGTTTGCCACATGTTGTTGGCAAGAACGGAAGAAGAATCAAAGAGATTAAGACTGACACATTTACAAAGATTTATATTAGTAAACCAATAACTTTGAATGTTGATGACAGCAATGATGATAATAATAATAAGCTATATGAGCAAGTTGTTAGAGTAAATGTGCGTGGTAATAAAAGGGATAATATCAAGGCCCAGAACAAGATTTTGGAGATTGTTGAAGAATTTGAAAAACAAACAACAATCATTATGAATATTGATCCTAAACATCACAAGTTTTTGATCGGACCTGGTGGTAATCGTATTAAAGAGGTTATAGCAAAAGCTGGTGGACCAGAGGATAAAAGTTCTCAGGCCGGGATTGTTAAGTTTCCTCGACTTGATGATGGTGGTAGTAGAATCAATGAGGTTGTAATTAAAGGAAGTGAAGAACTTGTGAAAAAAATTAAAGAAGAATTTGAAATTTTAATCGAAGAACAAGTATGCATTCATTTAATTGATTTTATTTTTTATTCATTTTTATTATTGCTAACGCAGAAAAAAAAATTTTTGTTTAGGAAAATTTAATTATCGATATTATTAAGGTTCCCAGAAATGAACATTCAGTTATTATAGGCAGGAATGGGTCCCAACTTCATAATATTCAAAATAAATTTAATGTCGAGCTTTATTTTCCTGGTTCACATTTATATAATCAAATAATAGTGACACAGAAAAAAGAAAAAGAAAAGCATCAGGATAAATTGTTGTTGATAGATAGTAATGATTTAGTAAAAATAATTGGAAAAGTTGAAAACATTAAATTTGCCAAAGAAGTAATATTATCAAAACTTCGATATGAAGATGTGTTTAAATTTCCATGTAAATTCTATAGTATAATCAATAATAATGGATTGACATCAAGGAAATTAAGAAACGAGTACCATGTAATAATTGAACATCAAGCAGATGAGAGGAAACAGATTTCAACAATCATCAATAGAAAACCAATTTTCAAAAAATCTACTAAATGTATCATTGGAGGGGCTGAAGAAAATGATGATTATGAATTCAATGTGAATAAATTTGGTTTTAAAATTATTGACAATGATGGCGGTGAGGATATGATGGTGGAGGATATGATGGTGGAAGATATGATGGTGGAAGAGGTGATGGCGGAGGATATGATGGTGGAAGAGGTGATGGTGGAAGAGGTGATGGTGGAAGAGGTGATGGTGGAAGAGGTGATGGTGGAGGAGATGGTGGTGGAAGAGATGGAATCAGGAATTGGAAATAGAATCGAAAATGAGAGAGAATATTTTTTGAATGAAATTTCTTGGACGCTCAAAGGTGTAAAAGGACAAGTTAATCAAGCTGTAAAATATTTAAATGAATTATTAGAACAAGCGGTAATTACGAAGTAACAATTCTTTATCTTTATCTGATTTTCAATTAATTAATTCCTACTTCCTTAACTCTTTCTTTCTTTGTAAATGTAATTAATTATATGTTAGATTAATACATGTACCGGATATCTATCAATTCCTCAAATATATCATCGACATATTATTGGGCGTGGAGGATTAACTATTTCACATATTAGAACAGAGAGTCAATGTAAGATTGACGTGCCTAAAGTTAACGGTGATGATACAATTGTAATCATTGGTAGCAAAGAAAATATTGTAGTGGCTAAAAATATGATATTTGAAATATTGATTAACTTGAGAAAAGAACAGAATAGTAGAAGATATTAATATTTTTCTTTATTATTTTGGTTGTAAATTATTTATCTTTTTATTTATAGAAATATTTATTTATTCGTATATCGAACAATCGAAGGTTCTAAATTCTGTAAACATAACTGTTTATCTATGCACTAATTTGTTTTTTGCACACACTAATACTACAATGCATCTCATATATGGGGCATACTACAACAAAACAAGACAAAGTGAACATTGGTATTACCAAGAATTTCAAGGATCAATATTGTTTTAAAATCGCAATTGTGTTACAATATCAAAAAGTTCATTTTTTTGAATAATAAGTTAAATAAGTAATAATAAAAATCTTAAGTGATAAATAATGACAATGATAAGCAGTAACAGGATAAATAGAATAAACAACACATAGTAGACTTACTAATTATTTTAAGCATTGTTTTTTACTTGAGATAATAATTTCATTAACAAATATTATGTAAAGATTATTTTTGTTAGAGAGCTAATGAAAAATAAAACTCCGAACAAACAAATTTTGTTATTTGTAAAGAGGATTTTTAAGATAGTACAAGTTGTTTTCTGCCAAACAATAAAAATTACTAACAACTAAGTTAAAAAAAATAAAAATTACTAATAACTAAGTTAAAAAAAATAAAAATTACTAATAACTAAGTTAAAAAAACATCAGTTATTTAAAACCATGTTAATTGAAAATAATATGTATTTTAATGATGACTTTTTTGTTAAAATATCATCAAACTTTTTCCTTTTTTCTTCCGAAGAATTTCCGATACCGTAAAGTCTGGAAAGATAGCATCCCCTTTTTACATATGTGTAACAATTTTTTTATATTGACGCTCAATTGTTTTAAAGTAGGGTGCTATCTTTCCAGACTTTATGGTACTATGAAATTCTATCATCTAACATCCACAGGATTACCGAAAAAATTTTCTTAAGATACATTGCGCTTGGATTCCATATAATTTAATAACTTTTGCGAAGCTCAAATAACTGGAAAATTCTTTTTGTGCTGGTAATATAAGTTTAAATGATGCTTTAATAAAAACCAAATGAACGACATTGACACGTATACATATTTTAGACAGACAACATACCTGGAATCACCCAGAATTCGAATGCTTCACTTTTTAAATTTTTTAATATACTTATTTAATAAATCATCCAAAGTATCTTGGTTGTATATTTTTAAATCTTCGATTAATGCAATATCGTTATATTGTCATTATCTAGGATTTCGTTTGAGTGTTTTTTAATAGATTCTTCAAGATCTACTAGAGTGACGACGAATGGCGATAACTACCACCATTCTTTGGATCCAGATGTATTGTTTTTTTTTCTTCCAATTCTTGCTTTTACGTCTTTCGGCATGTTTATTATAAAAAGAAAAATAAGTTTGTTATTTGATCGACGCGATCAAGTGTCATTCAATATAAACAATATAAACGTTACACGAATAAAATTATTATCGTTAATCTGACTCATCTCAATTAAAGTCAGGATTATTACCAAATATGGAATTTCCAAATACTGTAAGGATAGACAATCTAGAAATCTTTTAGAAAAAAACAAAACAAAAATGATTGGCTAATTTTATGCAGATCTTTTCTTTGAAAAAAATAGATAAATAAAATAAATTAAAAATAATGCTTTTTTATGAAGAAAACGTGGCGAAGGCTTTATTAAATGGTCATATAACCTCCAAAATTTTATGTATTACGTTTATTTTTAACTGCTTTACAAATCTATCAAAAAATAATCAATAGCTTCAAATTATAATCATAAAATTACCATAAA